ATCTCTAAGTATCATTGGTTCTTTGCATACTTTTCCAATTTCAAAGAAAATGTAAAGTACCGAAGAATGATCTTTGAGACCAAGAGAGAGGACCAGAGGCTTCGAGGGAACACAAGAACTGAAGAAATCAAAGAGATTGTATCATTATGACAGTTATATCACATTGTTGAAGAGAAGTAGCAAGAATCAAAGAATTGAAGGTGAGAGGGAGACCTTATGTGTTCGATTAGTCTTCGAGCAGTTGCTATTAGCATTGGCTTCAAGAAACATAGTGGGTAAAGATTGCAGTCAGAGTTTGTAGGTATCAACTATATATATATATATCTGCACTACAGTATGATAAGATTTTTACCTCATCTCGCTTTCCGAATATCACCGAGACACTAAATGTTGGTTCAACAGACATCCCTTCTTCCTTCCTATAAACAAAGACACACCCATTGGAGACATACATAACTCAGATGTTCTTAACGGATATTAGACTAATGGAAAAAATTAGAGACGGAACAAATCAAGAACACTCAACTTCATTCTTCAAGAAACTTTACAAGCATGAACAAAAACTAATTATATCACAGACATCACATACAATATAGTTCATCAAAGAACACCATTGGGCATAAACCGATAGTTTTATCGACAAAGCCAGAGACAAAACATAATCCAGAACACTCAATTTCATTACTAAAGAAACCCATAGAAGCATGAACAACAACTAATTAAATCAGACCTTGCGTGCAATATAGTTCCCATGGCTCCAATCTGTGTTGCTATGACCTGAAACAAAGTTATGTTGAGATTCAGAGACACAAAAACTAATAACTTCAAACATCAAACGAAGTAATCTCTTACGCACAAAGACACACTCACAAGGATATGATCTTCATAGCTGCAGATCACAATCTCTGTCTTGTTTCCCTTTTACAAACAAATAATAAAATGTTCAACACATTGAATTGGTGTACAATAAAAAAAAATCATAGAGAAACTTATCAATCAAGAGAGTAACACTCACAATATTTGATCAAATAAACGATTTTCTCATAAGAATCGACCAAAATCAATCGAGAAAAATTCCCATGAAAATTAATCGATTAGAATTTTTCAAATTACCTTACTTTCGAGTGAGACCTTTTTATGGCGCACAGGAAAATTAGCGTCCAAGCTTTCCATTTTTAGTCTTTGTAACAA